CATGCCACTATTATTATCCCAACTGCTCTGAAGACTGTGGTCCGGGGCAAGGATTCAGCCGGGGAATGCATTCCATTTCCTTTGGCAAGCACCACTCCCCGACTGGAAACATTCGAACAGAACAGCAAAGCGAATGTGTCTTAGTTAAAAGTGGTTTTACTACCTGTGCATCCTCCGGCGCAGGCGCCTGCCTGTGGTCTCCCTGGGTCATCACGGACCGGAACAGGCGCCAGAGAACTGAAGATGCGAGAAGGCACACGCTACCTACAACCCAGACATCTTTTCTTCTAAGTGTAAAGTCCATTCTCTGGGAGCTGCTGCTGATGTCAACTGGCTTTATATGCTCCTTCCCTGCCCTGATCTAGCACCACCTTCCCTGAGCACTGTCACTGCTGCTCTATTCTGAAGAGTGGGCTCCACCGAATTGCTGAGGGTTCTTGCGAAGTCCCGCAATGGACGTCTCCAGTTACACGATCAGCAAATAATCTGCCTCTTTAAAAGGGAAAATATGATGGCCTCGTGTGACAGATCTGAAACAGGTGTAGGAGCAGCAGGAGACCGGCTGGAGATAATTTACACTGCCGCGAATGTGCGTTTGTTCCCAGTTCAAGGGCTATTAGCGCCACTGTATCTGGCACCTGCTGGCTGCCGTGGCTGGGCCGCTGCCAGGGAGCTTTCCCCTGCCTTTACAGGGTGAGGAGCAAAGGGCTGGGGGTGGGTACATGCAACTTTAAAAATCGCAAAACCTCCACCCTCAGCCTTGTTATTTTAAGATCTAAGTTATAGTCATTGTGGATGGCGCTGATGGTACAATTTCACAGCAGTTGGTCAGGAAATTCCACCTGGTATTAAATCCACCAACTGCAATCAGAATAGGGAGATACACACTTTACTCCAACCCACTCTGTCCTTCTGCACATCCTGTTAAATATTTTGCTTTCTTTGGTCTTTGGATCATTCGTACCAGGCATTTAAACATTCCAAAGGCTGTGAGGACCCAAGTCTGCTAAGGTCATTCTTATTTCTATCCCACAGCTTTGAGATACCTCCTGCTTGGGATATGGAACAATTTAAATCTAGTTTTAAAAAGGAATTATTCCCTACCAAAGAAGACTTTTTAAAAATTCAACGATACATTCAGGATACATTAGGATACATTCATAAGTAATTTACTTAGAAGTCCTGTAAGCAGGGACGTGGAGTGGTGGGCCATGCTGATGTATTTCTGTGCAACAGTCATCCACACTCTCATGTCCTACAGCTTTGTCCTTGGGATTATGCCTTTTAGATGGAGGATAAGTAACTAGGGGTGAGCAGGAAGGTAGGGAAAACCAAGGGAAAAGGAGATGTACACAGATAACTAGACAACCTCAGACATGTAAGTAGGCTTGTGGATAGTATACAGAGACAGAACCAAATGACTGTCTATCTAAGTATATTATCTGGTACTTTTGTGTTTCATTAAGCAAGTAGAGAGATGAGAGGGAGAGAAAGAGAGAGAGAGAGGGAGATTGCACTAAACAGTAAATTAAATCTGAAGAAAGTACAACACAAGAGCTATTTGCTATACAGGTACTAGAGAACTACCACACCAAAAAAGCCACCCTAGATTTGACTATATAAAGATAATGCTAGTTATAGTTACAAAAGTCACTCATCATTTATAACTTAATGGCATAGACACAGTAGCTATTAAGCACATCACTCATATGAGTTAGATCAATTTTTAAAAGATTTTTTACTTGATTTCAATACCTTACTATAAGGTTATTTGCTGAAAACTTTTAAAATTCTACACGATACGTGGAACTTAGGTGATTTTGAACACCATTTGGAATGGTGAATAAGGAAAGTCATTAAGAAACAGAATAAGAAGGAAAGTAGAAAAATTAAAAGAACAAGATCTTAAGTAGAAAGAAGAAAAGTAGAATATGTCATATTTCATAAATTCAACAAAACAAAGAGGAAGAAGAAGATAGTTAAAAATAAATTCAGCGGAGAAAAAAATAAATGAAATAGAAAAATCTAGTTAAGAGCAGGAAAACAAAAAGTATCTGAGTTTTATCAAACTATTTTAACAAATATAAATTGTTAAATTTAAATATAATTCTTCCCCTATCAGGACTGGAGAGTAGTTACATACTCTTTGAGAAAGAACCTGCACTTCAAGCTTCTAGAACAAAACTTTCATGTTGGCAGAGTGTCTGAAATTCAGAGTAAATTCTTTTCAGCACACTGCAGTGCATATTTCAGTGCTAATCTTCTCACAGAGAGAAGGGATAATAGAGAAAGGTGAATATGTGGAAATAATCGACAAGCATTTTTTTTAATAGTCCCTGGAGAGAAAAAAGTGGTATTGAAAAGATTTACTAGCCGCGCTCGGTGGCTCAGCCTATAATCCCGCGCCTTTGGGAGGCTGAGGTGAGTGGATTGCCTGAGCCCGCGGGTTCGAGACCCGCCTGGGCAGGCGAGACCTCATCTCTACAATAAATTAAAAAATTAGCCACGCGTGATAGCGCGCGCCTGTAATTCCGGCCACTTGGAAGGCTGAGGCGGAAGGATCGCTGGAGCCCAGCAGGTCGAGCTGCGGTGGCCGGGAGCGGCTACTGCATTCCAGTCTGGGCGACAGAGTGAGACTCCAACTCAAAAAAAAAAAAGAAAAGATTGACTGCAGCCCCAGCAGAAGATGGAGATGTGTTAATCTAGCTCTGTCTGCATACCTGAAGACATCTGAGCTGCTGGAATGTTCTTCTCCACCCACTCTCTGCCAAGCCTACTGGCAGCCCTGGCACCCAGGGACTGAGCAAGTGGGGGTTCCAGGCCACTGAAAGGAGAAGAGCTGTGTCTCCGACATATGCACCCATCCATTCTACACATGCCCAGAGAAAGAGTCAGGGAAATTTATTGCTGACATCTCTGGGCCTTTCTCCACTTACAAATAAGAAATTGAATGGGGCAAATGGAACGCCTCGTTATTTCCTCCCACCTTCCCCACAGTCCTTGCAGGATTGAAGCCAGGAGGCCCAGGTTACAAAAGGGATATCAGACTTCCTGCAAAAGATGTTCTTTGAGGGTTTCTGTGATATAACATGCTCAGTTTTTCCTTCAGAAACATCCTAAAAATAATTAACTTCCAAATCACAGATTTATAACATTCTGGAGCAGTTGGCTATCACAAAAGTAATTATCCCTAAAAATGGTTGTTTCAACTTAGCACTATCTCGGTCTCTAAAGTGTTGCCTATTTATAAAAAGTATATCACAGAACTTGGATAAAAATGGTATTTGAAAAAAAATCAACTTCATATAAACGATTATAGTTAGCTGATGATTTCAGAGGTATCCAAAAAGAATATTTTGTCTTCTGTGCCCTACAGATATTTATGAACAGTGAAAGAGAAATCTTTCTGTTTAGTTATAATATTAACTGACCTAATCAGAGACTTTTCATGTATCACTTAAATTTTGCCTGTGGAAATTTCTTCTTGATCTATACTGAACTCACAGGGAAAGCAAAGATCTCAAAAAGCTGTTTCAATCTGACTCATTTCTTCTCTCCAGCATTTTAACATTTCTTATTCACTCACAATAAAAAGCCTTCTGACCTTTAACATACACTGTCTCTTTTTCATTGTTGCATTGCATTTCTAAAATGCTCTTCCGGCCGGACTCGGTGGCTCAGCCTGTAATCCCGCGCTTTGGGAGGCTGAGGTGAGTGGATTGCCTGAGCCCGAGGGTTCAAGACCCGCCTGGGCAACTTGGTGAGACCTCATCTCTACAATAAAAATCAAAAAATTAGCCGGGCGTGGTAGCGCACGCCTGCAGTTCCAGCTACTTGGAAGGCTGAGGCGGAAGGATCGCCGGAGCCCAGCAGGTGGAGGCTGCGGTGGCCGGGAGCTGCCACTGCACTCCAGTCTGGGCGACAGAGTGAGACTCCAACTCCAAAAAAGAGAAATGCTCTTCCTACCTGAAACGTGTTTTTCAAAACAGTAGCTGAGTAAAGAAGGATTTTTCCAAACCTGCCCAATAAGAATCACTTGTTCTGATTACTACAAATAATGATTCCCAGTCCTCAACCAGAATTCACTTAAATAGATCTGTTCGTTCTACAAACACTTTGGGTGCCTATTATGTGCCAGTCACTGGGAAAAGCAACTGAGAATACACAAAACGAGTAATATGAGGTAATGAGTAATGTGAGCTCTCAACCTTGAGGAGCCCTGTCTAGAAAAAGGTAGTAAATACATTCAAAACCACTGTGCTAGAATGCTAGAATGAAGGCATGGGCAAAGTGCTGTGAGGACCCTGCCAGGCCAGGAGCTGAGTAGGAACTGACTGGGCTATGACAGGGAGGGAATCAGTGCGGCTGCTGCTAATGTTTACTAAATGCTTACTATACTGACAGGGACTATGCCAAATACTTTATATTCGTTGTCATACTTAATTTTCACAACAGCTACCATATCCACTATTCAGATAAGTCAAGCCCATGGTTAAATTAAAAACTCACCAAAGAACAAGCAGCTGGAATTAGGCTTGGGACCTTGTTCTGCACAGAGAACACAGGTCCCACTGTCGCTATCAACAGCTCTTACACCTACCCCATGTGGAATTCAAGACCGTGAGGAAATTAGGAATTTCTTCTGCAGAACAACTGTGCCCCTCACAGCACTTCTCTGAATTTCAAGACCAAATCCATAATTTTACAGATGTCTTCTTCAAAGTGTGTTTCCACAAGCTCTCTTTATCACTCCTAAGCAACTAACCACAGTGCAGTAAATTGCAAGGAGAAATACATATTCAAAGGCCTCCTAATTATTTACCAAACTCAAATGTATAGTTCACACACAATTCTCAGTGAAACCAAATGGAAATGTGCCAATTTGTGAACTTTCTTTAATTCTACACACAAGTGAAAAAACAGAAATGGAACGGGTTGACAAGCGGCTCTACAGTGCAAAAAAGCTAAGGTGTAAAGATACTTTTCAGGAGACTAATTACCTCACTCTTTCCAGATCTTGAGTCCTGTTCACCAGAATTTTCTTCCAGAAAACATTTTACTTTCTCAACCTCTTCCATGCACTGAAAAAAGGCCATTTTTTCCAGCTGGCTGCTGTTGCAACATGTGTTAAATTCTTCCAACCTCTTCACTTTTAACATCTTGGTGGTGAGTTCAATTAAGTCACTGTCTGGAGTGTGGTTTTCATCTCCCTCTGTCTCTGATTTGTAAATCAACACACAATTGTGACCTTTTAGTGCTTCTTTCTCTTGACTGTAAAGAAAGGAAACAAAGAAAGTTCTTATCACTTTTACACACATTTGACTTCTTGGGAAAATGATCAGGGAGAATTTGGAAGTCTCTTCTATTAAAACTTGAGAGAGGATCCAAAATTATGATGAGAAATGCCAATATTCATATTGAGTTTCCAATGATGGAACTTTAAAAGGAAAAGGTTTTTTCACTTTCTCCTACAAGAGCAAAGAATAAGAAGCAATCTCAAGTTGCACTTTGTAATTAAATATTTCCCTCATTGCATAAAATAAGATGTTTATCAAGTGGCCAGTTTCAAGAGAGAATATAAAGTATCTTTGGGTTTAATCGGGAGTGCAGCTTTTACATCCCTTGGGAAAGGCTTACCATGGAAGAGGTCTCTCCTGCTTATCCTGGGGGTTTTGCCTACTTCTTGGGAGAGATCTCCACCAAATGAGTCCTTTTCCAGACATCTTCTCTGTCTACACCTTGGTGTTTATATTTGTAAAGAAATTTGTTTCCTTATAGTCCTCTCTCACGGGGAGTGTACCTGGACACCCTTTTTTGCAGTTGCGTCCTTTTGTTTTCCTTAAAATACTTTTCTTACAAATTAAGTAATGCAGAATATGTAATACTGCTTTGACTACAACATATACGCATGTATATATGTACACATCACTTGATTACATAAGGAGGTAGGAAGAAAAGAGGAAAAGAGATTTGAATTTGTGGTTGTTTCCAGGGCTAACTACTTGTGGCCCCCTTGTGGAGATCTTCTGATATTGCTTCTTGGAGCTTTTTTTCAACTTAAAAACCATCTGTAATTCTCTCCATGAAACTTTATCTTTCATTTTCTCAACTCCTATAGTAAAATGATACCCTTGAGTTCCAAGGTATTTAAAATTCACTGCTCTAAAAAAATTCTACTTATCCATACATTCAAACAAATCAAAATGCAAATAGCGTCAACCAGAGTTCTATAGATATATTGCAGGCCAATGTTAGCATTCTTTCAAATTGCCCTGAAAAAGATCATTATTAAAGTAAGAAAACAGATGCATGGCTATTTCTAAAACAAGCCGTGACTAAAATATAATGTTTAATTGCATATGGAATTCAAGTTGAATCAGAAAGTCACACAAAATTAACACCTTAAAACAAAAGTTTAAGTTCAAGATGTAATAATTTTGCAAAGAAATATTAAACAGTAAGCTCTACCTGAAGCTTGGTACAATTTGTTATTGAAGACAACATAGAAAGAAAGAGAAGGAGATTTGAGAGGTTGTAACAATAAACAAAAATAATTACCGCTGATAGGAGGACATCATAGAGTCTGCACTCCAAGTATAGAGTATATGTTCCAGAAAATCAAGGGAAATTTTCAGAAATCAAACTGACTACGAATGTCTCTGATAAAAGTCTTGACTCTCAGTCAGTATAAGTCTTCTGAAAAGACAAGTGTCCACTATGAGAGGAAGTATCTTCTCTCTCAAATGCCACTTTGAGCCCCTGTTTAAATTAACACTGCCCTTCATCTCATGTTGCTCAGCTGTTGCCTTCTTAGTCAGATGGGGAAGAACATTAATTTTAGACACCAGGATTCTCAAGGCTCGTGGCTCCATTTCAGAGGTCAGGTAAGGAGAGGACAAACTGGGAACACTGGATGAAATATCACCTTCACCTTCCCTCTTATCCGTGTGGCAATACTCTTGGATTTACAAAGCTGAATTTGTTTTTGGTGGTCATCTGCCAGCCTTCCTGCCCCTCTCAGACTCAGGATTATTTAAGAGCTTGTTCCCAGTCAGAAAATTTCAGGTGTGGGAACCCCACAGTCACCTCTGTTTGCCTGTCATACTTTGAACAGACTCTGCACTGCAATATCAGACACCTTCTGAAAGCATTTAGCAAGTTTGTTTTCTAAGTCCTTAAAGGTATGTGCAATATCTCAACTGTTTTTAGGTCTAGGGAAAGGTCAAAGACACAGGCATTCAGGTAGGTAGGAGGAAGAGTGATACATTTTTCATAAACTCATCTTATAAGCAACATTGTGACTTCCTCCCTGGTTTTCTGCCACAGACCAGAAAGGGGAGTTTGGGTGGAAACAAACCATCTGCCCCACTCTAACAATACTGCACTTTGCTTAGAGGCATAAAACTTTGCTTAGAGCCTGGAACTAGTATTATAGGCAACCCTACAATTCTTAAGGGTCCAACCAACTGTCACCTCTTATTTAGGGCCTTTGCTGACCCCTTCATACCCATTACAACATCGGTCTCTAGTGCCCTCTTGCTTTTTCTAAAGTTCTAATTTTTAATTCAGATCAATGTATTTCATATAAAATTACTTTCCATTTTAAGTAGCATTTAAATAATTATAGCAAAATATTTTTAAAATCAGAACTTTTGTTGTTTTTCCAGGATTAGAGAACTTTATTCTTTAGAAAGAGTAATGAAGCAGATTATAGATTTGTGAAAGATAAATAGACAAAATGACTGCACAGAGGCTGAACAGACTTGAGATCACCAATTTTTTTGTAATTAAATTGTATAAAAGTACTGATAAAGTGACAAATCTCTCACCAGAAGAAAAATGTGTGTGGGCTGCTGCTGATTCAACTACCTCGCTACCCAGACCATAAAACAACAAAATCAGATTTCCCATTCCCTTGGCTCCAACACACTCACCACAGGCTCTAGTGATCCAGAAGCCAGCAGAATCTGCTCCTTTGCTTTTTTTTTTTTTTAATTTTTTTTTTATTTTAGAGTAGTTTTAGATCTACAGAAAGGGTGTAAAGATAGTTCAGAGAGTTCTCCTATGCATAGTGTCCTATTTCCCCTATTTATTTATTTATTTATTTATTTATTTTTTTTTTTGAGTTGGAGTCTCACTCTGTCGCCCAGACTGGAGTGCAGTGGCCAGGAGCGGCTCAGCCTTGACCTGCTGGGCTCCGGCGATCCTTCCGCCTCAGCCTTCCGAGTAGCCAGAACTACAGGCGCGCACTACCATGCTCGGCAAATTTTTTTATTTTATTGCAGAGATGAGGTCTCGCCTGCCCAGGTGGGTCTCGAACCCGCGGGCTCAGGCAATGCACTCACCTCAGCCTCCCAAAGGTGCGGGATTACAGGCTGAGCCACTGAGCCCGGCTTATTTCCCCTATGTATAACATCTGTTGGTATGGTAGACTTGTCAAAATTAATGAACCAATGTTGATTCCTTATTATTAACTAAACTAAACCCAATACTTCATTTCAGTGGGTTCCCCCGCCGCCAATGACCCTTTTCTGTTCCAGAATTCCATGCAGGATTCCACATTACACTTAGACCCAGTAAGATTTGTGATGAATTGGGTATGGGAGGTGAGAGAAAGATGGCAGACAAGGGCAAATTTGCCAATTTTCTCCTGAGCATTGGAAGAACAGAGCTGACATTAACTGGGATAGAGAAGTCCATAGGAGGAGCAAATGTTGAAGGGGAAGGTCAGGCATTCAATTTTTGGCAAGCCCATTAAATGTTCAAGTTGAATAGTCTGTGGAGATAGAAATCTGGAGTTCACAGGAAGGTTGTGTAGGTTGGTGATATAAATTTGAAAGTTATCCACATAATGACATCTTGATGCAAGTATGTGATTAATTACTAGAGAGAATACTCTTTAATTGTGTCTACTTGCCCTAAAAAACAAAAGTTAATTAAAAGAATCTATGCTACTTGTCTTCTTAAATTAGGTGACCGTAGTCTAGTTCTGCTATGTCCCACTGTTCTCAGCTTCCGATGGCACACAGGAAAAGCAGCCTGGCACAACAATTGATCACAAAAAGACAGGTTGTACATGCATACTTATACAGTCTATCCACCTACCTATAGACTATTTGGAATACCTGAAAGATGCTCTCATGCTAGGAAAAACTCATTATAAGGCTACGAGCAGGCCTAACAATACTTTCCCAGTATTTCCATAATTTCTGGAGTTACACAACTTTTTTTTTTTTTTTTGAGTTGGAGTCTCACTCTGTCGCCCAGACTGGAGTGCAGCGGCCGCTCCCGGCCACCGCAGCCTCGACCTGCTGGGTTCCGGCGATGCTTCCCCCTCAGCCTTCTGAGTAGCCGGAATTACAGTTGCACGCTACCACGTCCGGCTGATTTTTTGATTTATCGTAGAGATGAGGTCTTGCTGCCCAGGCTACACAACTTTTAAAAACTACTAATATCAGGAAAACAGCCTTCTACAGAGCCATGGAAAAGAATCCCTTGATTCCTTTCAAGGGTCATTTCTATTCGCTGAATAAGAGACTGTGCTGTCAAAGGAGCCACATGAAGATGCATCACTGACAGCTCTGCCTACTGGTTGGCATTCAAACCACCTGGACAATGCTAGTAGTTTCTCTTTTCACACAGCTTTCTGAATGTTTCCAGAACAACAAGGCCTCTTGAACATTTTATACACAAAATTGGAACAACTGTCACAAATACTAAAATGCAAATAAAAGGCGACTGCAACCCTGTTATCCCCATTACAACAGAATTTTCTTCTTTTCAAAAAGCACGACTGAGTACAATCCATAAAAACAAAGATTGATAAATTGCGCTGCATCAAAATTCAAAACATTTGCTGTTCAAAAGACACCATTAAGAAAATGAACAGGCCAGCTACAAACTTGAAGAAAATACTGTAAAATCACATATTTGATATGGGACTTGTATTTAGAATATACAACAAACTCTCACAGCTCAATAATAGGATGAAGAGCATTCCAATTTAAAAAATAAACAGAAGATTTGAATAGACATCTTGCCAAAGAATAGACAGAAATGCCTAATAAGCATATGACAAAAATGCTTAAAATCAGTCATGAGGGAGATGCAAATTAAAATCACAATCAAATAGCGTTTCACTCCACTAAGAGAGCTATAATTTAAAAAGACCGAGAAAAGCCAATGTTGGTGAGGACATGAAAAAACTGAAACCTTATCAGACATATTGATGGAAATGTAAAATGGTATGAGTGTTTCAATAAAC